GAAGGCTTTGCAAGATTTTCAATAAACTGCTAAGAATCTCCCTCAATTTTCTAGGCTTATTTTATTTTTATTTCAATTCCAAGACATTTAACATATTGTTAAGATAGGAGCGTTAATATAAGCTCCTTCATGTGAGTGTGTAGTTTAGCATATATAAAAAGCAAACGTTTGGAACTAAGAAATCATTTTCTTGTGAAGATAATCAAATACCGTCGATAGCTGTCGATAAGTGAACAATTACTTACGATTTTACAACCTCATTATACGAAACAATTATAAAATGTTGTTTTGTTTACAGATTCACATCAACTAAAGTCATGGTTTTCTGGTTTCGTTTAAGTTATTTATGTTTGCCTGTAGCGAAACAAAAAATAGACTAAGTTTCTACTCACTTCGCCCAGTTAAAGTATTATCTCTGTTTTGCGTAGCATCTTTAAGAGTTTAAAACCGGAAACAGACATCCATCTTGAGCCCAAAATTTCCACTAGCTTTATAAATTCGATCAGTCTGATAGAAAAGTAATATAACATTTGTGTAAACATATTGCCGTTCCAATTTGGTTGAAATCTGCGTTGGAAGCCATTTTCATTTTATAGAAAGTCACACACATACAAGGTTTGAAAAACTTGAATTTTCGTGTAAATACGTATGAAATTATCATAAGGATACATATAAACAAATCAAACTAATTTTTAGTATGCAGCATAGCGAGTCAAAAGCGAATAAAAATAATACTTTCAGCTCATTTTAGTGGATTTAAAAGCTTTTAATTTAATACATTAGAACGGAAAAATAGTAAAGGGTCAGACATAAGTCTAAAGGTTTATAACACTAAAAACTGGGTTGCGATACCTTTGATGGACACAGCACAGATATCCCATTGTGTAGCTTTGTGCTTAACAACAACCAAACAGAAAGTGTAAAATAATGACAATTTATGTTCAAGGCAAATTATCATGACACGCCTTGCATAGCAAATTGATATCTCACAAATTACTGGGTTTTTAACAATAATTTTTAGGATGATTGATAAATTCCTAGTTGTGTACGAGGATTAATGAGATTCATCTGTACCTAACACCAACCTCACTCATGAAGCTGTCTGTAAAACCCTCGTGAAGAAATTCTAATCCTGATAATTTTTAAGTCATTTCTCATTGGGCAACTGTTCACTTTAGGTTGTGACTCTTCTGCACCCCAACTATTTTGGATAAGGGTATGCTGCAGTTCCTGCATAGTCCATCCATTCGACTACGTCCTGTTCATGATAAAAAAAACAGATGATCATCAACCAAAATGAAGTTTGGTCCAGTTGCATCAGCGTTACATCTTACTATCAGATGGAGGACAGTGCATTATTTCCCATAATGCGAACTAGGCAGCTGCCTAAGGTTCCGAGCCTGTGAAGCGTGGATTGACAATTTTTTACAAATGTGTTGAGAGATTCAGTCGAAAATAAATTTCATATAAAGGTTTTATTAATTTTGTGACTCCAGGCAGTTGCCTACCTCGTATACCTGCTACATTCATGCATTAGGATGCACGTATATTAATACAGTTAATAAAAAACATATCTAGTAAATGCAAAATGATGTAGGGATAGCAGTGCCAAAAATAATGCAAACAATAATATAGGAATGATACAGCTAAACATAGATCATCACTACATGACTTTCAATACTAAATTTAATGTTACACTGTAAAATGCAAGAATACAAAATGGTTACATGGTCGGTCAAATCGGCCGACCTCGAAGCGAGAGTCTGTAATAGTCTGTAATAATCAAGACATGTTTTGACTCAACTTGATTTTTTTTGTGTGTGATCATGATATTATGACAAAGAAACTGCATATAAATAGTCAGAAATATATAACTTTCAGCTTCTCAAACTACAAATCCCTATTTTGACTCCACGAAAATTTATAAGTACTCTAGACATAGAGTCAAAATATACTATTTACAGCCTAGTTTGTTTACTGTTTTAGATTCTCTAGTTGTAGACTTCAAAATATAAACTTTGTATTTTGCTTCAACTTGTTTCTATACGTTTTTTACAATTCCTATTCCCATTTTTAAATTTGCAATTTTTGATTATCTTTTTTCTTAATATTTTTATGTCCATTTACAGAGAATAAATTTTAACCTACATACGTGCATATGCATTCAGTTGAATGTTACAATTACTGCTGCATTGGCTTTTTTTCCACCCAATTATTATTTACTGAGCCTATTTTCACTCCACCAAATGTAATGCCAGATAGCAGCATGGAGCCAAAATAGGGTTTTTTTAGTTTGAGTAAATTATGTTTAAAGTACCTCCAGCCCTGATTCCTTACTTTTTGCGATCCCTATTTGCAGGTTCTTGGATTCCCAATTTTTTAATTATCTTCTATATAATACAGGGGTTGGCTCCCAAAAGACACCGATTGTATACCGTACAAAGCATTGAATATTCTACAAGTTGGCTGGTAATTCCTGTTTCATCGTGTACTTAAGCTTTTGTTTGTTTGTTTAAAGTTAAGCACAAAGCTATACAATGGGCTATCTGTGCTCTACCCACCACGGGTATCGAAACCAGGTTTCTAGCACTGTAAGTCCGCAGACATACCACTGTGCCACTGGGGGGGGGGCGTACTTAAGCTTTTTTAAAGGAATACCAGGTTTTTGTAAAAAAAACTACCTTCAAGGGGTAATGATAACATCGTTTACACTAGAATTATGATTGCTATTTTTAATTACAACTAGTTATTACGACCAAGCGGTGACATCCGTGCAATGCCTAGAAACACAAATTGGATTTAGGTTTAAACTAACATTAATGATAAAGTAGTTGTAGAGTTATCTCGACTGAAACAAAAAGAAGAAAGATAAAAAATTTGTTGGGTTGATCATTTTCTGGTTTGG